GACACGAGTTTGTAGCAGCGATGTCAGACAAGATATGAATGTTTTTCTGGACTCAAATGAAAGAGCGGGTCGAAAAATGGCTTGCTAGGGCCTCTAAAGATGGTCTTGAACCAGGGGAGACTCCTAGACCCCACTGGACAATGTTGTCACAATTGCACTTTTCAATTGAAAACAGACATCATCTTTAGAGAGATTTGTCATCTTTAAAGACTTCTGCACGCCATTTCTCGACCCGCTCTTTCATTTGAGCTCAAAAAAACATGGCCGTCACTATTCGCACCATTGCGTGAGTCACTCCCGTACACTCCATACACTCCACGTATGCGTGATGTTTGTGTGTTTCACGCAGCCGAATTTTCATACTGCTGTGTATTTCACGCAGTTTAAGTTTCATACTATTTTTGTACACCTGTGTGTTTCACGCAGTTGCATTTTTATACGCCTGTGTGTTTCACGCAGTTGTATTTTTATACACCTGCGTGTTTCACGCAGTCGTATTCAGATACTCCTCTGTATTTCACACTCCTGTATGTATAAACACACAGGTGTATAAAACTTCAACTGCGTGGAACACACAGTAGTATGACACTTCAACTGCGTGAAACACACAGTAGTATGAAACTTCAACTGCGTGAAATACACAGCAGTATGAAAATTCGGCTGCGTGAAACACACAAACTTCACGCATGCGTGGAGTGTATGGAGTGTACGGGAGTGATTCACGCAATGGTGCGAATAGTCACGGCCTTAAGCAATTTGTCGGTACACCTGATTCATTAGAGTATCAATTGCGAAATTTGTATCAATTTTATTTCAAATTCATTTCGATGAATTATTAAAAAATGGAAAAAGGATTTTTATTTTTTTCGTTAAAACCTTTTTTGGAAAATTCTCCAGGGAAATTTAAGTAGCAATATGCTTCGAAATGGTCATTTTGCACACAATTTTCTTGTGAGAATGTTTAATTAATGATTAATTAATTTTTCAGTCAATTGTTTACATTCATTTTCATTGCAAAAAGCAATATGACGACGAAAATCATGTCCCAAATTATCAGCTGTTAAATTTTCATGTCACAATAAATGATTTGCTCATGTTCTAATTCCTATGCTCACTGAATAAGATTTTAATCGTAATTACAATTCAATTCCTTGTAGAACACACTTTAGAGCGTGAATTTCTGGAATTCAATGTTTGTTGCTACTCTGGTAAAAGTGCGTGCCCATACTGTTATCAATTTTCAGTTAGTTCACACGGTAATTCAATTAATCTGTTGTTCATCTCATCAATATAATTCCGTGCTTAGAATATTGTCATCTCGTGTTTTCAGCACCAATAAATTAAAAATTAAAACTTCATTTGGGATATTGAGTCACAGCTTTTTTTTATTCATATCAGAAATTTTGTATTTGGATATTAATATTATTTGTTCAAAGTGAAAAAATCGATCATCATTTTCACTATATTGCATTCAGATTCTCCTATCCTTAACGTCAAAAATGTGAGATTATCTCATAACAGATAAGTTTAATCTATTAATAGCTAGATCACAGTTTAATCTATAATTCGAATCAAATTTTTTCGAAGAAAATCTTAGTAACGGCAATATTAAGAAAGTAGAATTATTAGATTTTCCTCTGGCCTAAATAATTTGGACAATTATGATTCATTTATTCATGTTTCATAGAATGACATTCAATTCTCTTTTGTTTGCTAGGCGGGTTTCATGAAAATTCGACGCAAGACGATTGTGCTCATGAAAACCGCCTTAATTTCTCCATTCGTTCAAGATATTGCCCATGCGTTCTTTTAGAAAGGATGAACAAAATGATAAAATTGAAGATTTTCTGATCTACTGAACTTCCTTACAATCCAAACGATCTAATTCATTAATTTCACCGTAAAAAAGCGTCAAATATAGCATTAAAAAATTATTTTCCCAATTGAAATTCAAAGAACTAACGGAAACACTCCCTCATCAATCACTTCCCTTCGCATTATCATATTTTATCATATGTATCGTTATCCAAGTTCATCGTGACGTCATCCCTTAGCTGAAACAACTCAACAATTGACATTTCCCTGTCCTTGCCCCGATTGAACTCAAAATGAGAAAATAAAATTTAATCTCCCGCTCTGAGTATAACTTTTACGAAATGAGAGAGTGGAAAAATATGGAATAGCTCGGGAAATGTCAATATTGTAAAGGGAATGACAATTGTCCGTCTATTTAATCGATTGCGTGGAGTTAGAGCGATTTGTTTTACAGCTCGAGAGACGGTTATCACCAGGCAAACAACAATTTTTATCTGATAAGAATAGCACGAGGAGTGGGATTTTATCATTATTCCCCTGACATTTGTCTTGTCTGTTGTACTACGCGAGGGGGTGTGTCCCCGCTATTGGGAATTTTGTGGGCAATTAATTATAGATTTGGGGTGTGACGGAAGAGAAGATCAACAAGTCGTAACGGTTTTCAAAGACGTGAAAATGGGCGGAAAATTATTTTTAAACGGATTTCTTCGGCCTTGAGGTATTTTAGGACTGATGATATGGTTCGGGGGGAAACTCTTCGGAGTTCGTGTTTATGTTTTTGATGCTCAAGCATTTTTTCAGGGTCTCTGAAACTAGGGATGGTCATCGGTGACGTTTGATTACCCAAATTTTTTTTTAATTGATACGTTTTTCTTTTGCTTGCGTACATTTAAAAAACGAGAAAAAAAAGGTATTTTATTTCAGAAAATAAAAAATGTCTGGGAACTAAGAAAATTGGGGAGACCGAGTCAACGCGTTTACAGAAAAAATAATGTCAAGAGTGGGGGCTTCACAACAATAGTATTGTCTGATGCTGTATTTATGGTATTTTTTTCATTTACAATTAATTTATTTTCCTCAGTTTCTCCTTCCTCATTGTTCATTTAGAAAAATTTTGTTTTTTAGCTTTTAGGAGATTCTGGTGATTACTCTAAACGATTTTTCGGAGATGTCTGGGGGACGTGGATGGGGTGGTGGGGTTGTAAATAGTCTTGTTAGATAGCTTGGGAAATTTCCGCTGGAAAAGTCAGCATGACGACACTTTTATCTCTTCAAGTTTTCGAGATAACGAGGAAAAACGTTTTTCACATTGGAAACTTGGTTTTCGTTGTATCTCCTCAGGTACTGCTGTTGAATGTGTCGTCGTGCTGAGTTTTCCAGCGGCAATCTCCCTGGATTTCTAATGAGACTATTTTCAATTTTCTAGCTCTTCAGGCTCTCGAGATAACCACGAATAATCAAGTTTCAATGAAATTTTCTGGTGAATTTCATCGTCAACTCGAGTTTTTTTGCATGATTAAATTTTTATTAACACTGCAACCTTCGAAATAATCATTGATTCATCATTATTCATCTCTGCCAGGTGTCACACCCCCTCAGCCTTGCATTCACGCTTCTAATTACGCTGATTAAATCACTAAATAGTTGAAAATAATTCATCAGCCCTTGAATTACAATTTAAAATAGGATTTTTAGAATTGTTTACAAATGCATCAATTAATTGCATAAATTTTTTATTCAATTTTTAAATCCCACGAATCGTTAATTCTCAGTGACTGCAGCGTTGGAGGCTCGTCAACTCCTCTCCAATCTCCTTCAAACACACATGACTGTTGAGTTACCCTTGATGATCTCACATTTTACATAACTGTTCTCACGAAAATAACTTAAACTCCAACGCGCTGTTGACACTACACTACTTACGAATGGATTTCAATAATCTTTACATGATTGCGGTGTCAGAAAACTTCCAGATAATAAGACAAGAGGAATGACTGGAGGGTTAACAAATGTCATAAAATGACAATTTCCACAATTCAGTTAAATTCTTACTAAACTCAAAATCCCAATTTATCATTCTCTTGAATATCTCGAGAGCCCGAAGAGATGATAATCAATCAATATCGCAATCGATAGCCAGAAAAATTTCCGACAATAATAAAAAATAGCCCATTTTGCCCCATAATCAGGCCAACATATCGATCAAAATCCTTTTTCCCCGACAAATGATTTTTTATTGAGTCCCATATTTGGGGGAAGGTCCAAAATTTTAATGTTGGGGGAATGTTGACTGCCAATGTTGGGGCAATGTTGGCTGCCGACATTGGGACACTGTTGGCTGCCAACGTTGGGACAATGTTAGCTGTCACCGTTGGGGCAATGTTGCCATAATGTTGACTGCCAATGTTGGGGCAATGCTAACTGCCAATGTTGGGATACTGTTGACTGCCAACGTTGGCACAAAGTTGGGGTAATGTTGGCTACTAACGTTGGGGCAATGCTGACTGCCAATGTTGGGATAATGTTGACTGCCAACGTTGGGGCAATGTTGGGGTAATGTTGGCTGCCAACGTTGGGGCAATGTTGGGGTAATGTTGGCCACTAACGTTGGGGTAATGTCGGTTGCCGACATCGGGGAAATGTTGGCTGCTAACGTTGGAACAATATTGGCTACTAGCAGTGGGGAAATATTGGCTGCCGATGTTGGGGCAATGTTGGCTGCCAACGTTGGCCCAATATTGGCTGCCAACATTGGGACAATGTTAAATTCAATGAACCATCGAATTAAATTTAGAATACATCCTCACAGAAATTCCATTCCGAAGTAAATAGCCCACTTATTAGCAAAAATATATTAACTATGCTGTGACACAAGCAATTTCTCACTTGTTTTGCATTATCGAAGAAAGTGAATAATGAATTTTACTCAACCAATCGATAAATCGATTTGTTTCAGACAGAAGCTGACGTCTCCCAAGTGGAATCGATTCAAAGGCATCAGGCTCCGATGGAAAGACAAGATCAGACTGAACAACGTCATCTGGAGGTGCTGGCACATGCAGTGTAAGTCCCTCACGATAACCTTCCTTTCCCGTAAAATAATTCTGCTTAAAGTAGCTCTGCCCTTTGGCCGGGCTACGCTATACTTTTGGAAATTTTCAGTTTTTAAATTTTTCAAGTAAATTTCATAGAAAAAGTTTGAAAAAATTCATACCCAGTCAGTACTATCTAAATTAAATTTCGCAAAATATTGATATTTTTTCAAACATTTCCCTCTTACAAATGAATAATAAAACTTGTCTCAGAACGGTGGATTATTTTTCACGAGGTGTCAAAAAAATTCTTGATTTTTTCACATCTAATGAAAAAAAAATCAATTTTTAATCTTTGATTACAATGGAAATGTTGATTTTCATATAAGACACTGGGTTAAATCCTGATTTTTAAACATTTCTACTTTGAAATACCAAAACGATAATTAAATTGAGAAAATAATTAGAATTCCGAATCTAATCGAGTTTTCTGCAATTTTTTTACAGTTTTCAATAATCTTGGAATTTAAGTAAGGGTAGAGCTACTTTAAGTAATTATTTTGGCTCGATATCTCGTGAAGTTGAAGAGACAGACTCACCGCGATGGTTTCAATCGATAGCCAGAGAAGTTTCCGGTTCAAAACGCGGGTGTTGAAATCCTTTATCTCCGCAAATTCTCCTGATAACGCTAGAGCTAGTTTTTTTCGATCAAATCATTCTTCTCCTGGGATCTCCTCAAGGCATGGGGCAAAATGGGACTATGACCAGGGTTTGGAATCGGAAATTTTCTGGGCTCTCGAAGGAGACGTGACTCGACCCTCCATCTGTCCGGGATCTCGAGATATCCAAGGAAATGGGAAAAATCGAGGAGATTAATTGCTGAATGATCGGTGAAGGAGGTTCTGAGCTAATTCAGTATCACGAGTGTGTGATTGTCAGTCTTAGAGATAAGACACGAGTCTAGTTGTGTTAATGCGATGATAACGATTTGCAAACACGAGGAACGTGCACGATGTCAACGCGTGAATGATTTTTTTTTTATCCCCACTTGAGGGAAAAAATTATGAAAATGGCAATTGTCGCAGTTGTTTCATTGGAGATCGACGCGAGAGCAGTTGTCAGTGGAATTCCGTTCGTTTTTGGGGATCAGGGAATTATTTTTCTGTGGTTTTCATCGTCGGAGATCGAAAATTTTAATTATTTTCATTAATTTTTCGTTTTTTTAATAATTTTTTTTTAGTTCTATTGATTTTGGGGCACAAAAAATTTTTTTGGTAATTCTGGGGGCGAGGAGGTGCTTCTGGGGGGTTTAGTTGCTTTAGGGGGGTGATTAACGAGGAGATTAATTTCGGGAGTGATAAAATCATCGGGAAGTGGTAAAACGTAATAACTTGGACAATATATTTTTCTTCAATCTTGTTTAAAATCGGTTTATCTCGAGAATGGATGGTTTTAGAAGAAAAAATGATAAGAAATTTTTTGTTGGAAATTTAATTCTCTACAAAAAAGAGTTTTGTGCCATTTTTTCCTAGAACGACCCGTTATCGAGATATTCAACAAAATGTGCAAAGTAAAATCATTGATGAGTTGAAATTAATATTTTTATTCATCACACATTTATCTAGGTAACGAATCACTTTACGGGAAAATGTGATAAGTTCTTTTTTGTGGAAAATTCAATTTTCTGTAAAAAATGTGTTATGACATTTTTTGATAAAATGCCTCGTTACGGAGATATTTTGAGGATTGTCAAGACGAAAAAATGATTCTTTTAATTTTACCACTTGCATAATAAAATTGTTTTTAGGATCAGAAAAATATCTCGATTTCGATTAAAAATGCGTCGTCACAAAGTGGGTATTGGAACGATTGTTGTTCAGATTTTTCAAGGCGATTCTGAGAACACCGAGAGAGTTTATATTTTGGTAATGGAAATGTTCATTCTTTTCATCTTAACGAATTTCACGTTAAAAATCGTTATTCTGCCTTTTATTCTTGGAGTTTGAGAAAGGAATATTTTAAAGATAGTTTTAATGCTTCTGATTATAGTTATCCTGAAGCAGAATACACTGGTGTGTCAATTCGCCTCTCCCCTGGACGTAGATACTCACAACAAGCCTGAAGTAAGTACTCCAACGATTCCACTGTTCTTAATTAACACGAAGCCATGGGAAAAAGAAATCTAGTCTCTTTGAAACTCATGTGGCTTCACTCCGACAGCCTCTAGACCTCAAGCGGCGCCCCCTCTCAAATTTCTCTCACGAAAATTATCCCAAAAAAATCTTTTAGCGATCGAATGCTAAAAACTAGTTCAATTGAGCAATTCTCAGAATTTAATTCAAAATCGTAATTCTTGGGTTCATAAATTATTTTTAATTACTCTGTAATTTAATCTGGGTAATTAGAAGCGTGAATGCAAAGCTGAGGGGGTGTGACACCTGGCAGAGATGAATAATGATCGATCAATGATTATTTCGAAGATTCTAGTATCAATAAGAATTTAATCATGGAAAAAAAACTCGAGTTAACGATGAAATTCACCAGAAAATTTCATTGAAACTTGATTATTCGTGGTTATCTCGAGAGCCTGAAGAGCTAGAAAATTGAAAATAGTCTCATTAGAAATCCAGGGAAATTACCTCTGAAAACCTCAGCAACGGCGACACATTCAACAGCAGTACCTGAGGAGATACAACGAAAACCAAGTTTCCAATGTGAAAAACGTTTTTCCTCGTTATCTCGAAAACTTGAAGAGATAAAAGAGTCGTCATGCTGACTTTTCCAGCGGAAATTTCCCCAGCTATCTAACAAGACTATTTACAACCCCACCACCCCATCGACGTCCCCCAGACATCCCCGAAAAGTCGTTTAGAGAAATCACCAGAATCTCCTAAAAACTAAAAAACCAAATTTTTTCTAAGTGAATAATGAGGAAGGAGAAACGAAGGAAAATAAATTAATTGTAAATGAAAAAAATTCCATAAATACAGCATCAGACAGTGCTATTGTTGTGAGGCCCCCACTCTTGACATTATTTTTTCTATAAACGCGTTGACTCGGCCTCAGCAATTCTCTTAGTTTCTGGACATTTTTTATTCGTCGTGGCGACACGCGGCGTGTCGTAGTGCGAATAGCCACGGCGTTTTTTATTTGCTGAAATAAAATACCATTTTTGTCGGTTTTTAAATCATGAAAAATGAGTCCTTGCATGCAATCCGTGGCTTCCCCACTCCAGTTATAATCAAGCTGGATAACATTGGATAATAAATTATAACATATGATAATTCTATTCTAATCCTCTTTATCGATCCTCCCAGGCAGTAGTTTTAGAAGGAAAATACTGGAAACGAAAATTAGCGGCGGTAACTGCAGAGTACAAAAAATGGCGTATGTTCTATCGGAACAAGATTCTCGGATGGACCAACAAAGATGGAACAGACATGGTAAATCAATGAAACCCCTGAAAAATCAATTTTTTCAATGAAAAATCATTCCCGAATGATTTTTATGGAATTATTTTGTGAATTCAGTTGGAATCGATGGACATGTTGGACTGGAGCAACGGTGGTATGGGTTCATCAGGGGGTTTTTCATCGGGACTCATGAATTCCCACGGGAATATCGGTGGTCTACAGGGTCCTGATAGTATGATGGTTGATGAGGATTACATGGAACTCATGACTGACACATTATTCTCAACAATAAGCTCAAATCAACCGATATATTTTCCCGATCCCCGTGAAATCGGTGAGTTCAAAGCATCAATGGGCCAGGAGGTTTATGATGAGGGTCAGAATAAGGGTCATGGGGGTCATAAGGGTCAAGTTATAATGAGGGTCTGAATAAAGGCCGCGAGGGTCAGCTTAAGGGTCATGCGGGTCATACGGAGATATATAAGGGTCAGGAAGGTTATAATGAGGGCCAGAATAAGGGTCACGAGTGTCAGATTAAGGGTCATAAGGGTCCAAGAAAGGGTCATGAGGGTCAAATTACGGGTCCTAAGCGTCCAAGAAAGGGTTATGCGGGTCATACGGAGCTATATAAAGGTCAGGAAGGTTATAATGAAGGTCATAATAAAGGTCACAAGGGTCAAATTGAGGGTCGTGCGGATCATACGGAGCTATATAAGGCTCAGGAAGTCTATAATGAGGGTCAGATTAAGGGTCATAAGAAACCGAATAAGGGTCATGGGGGTCATATTGGGCTCGGCGGGGGTCATACGCCACTATATAAGGGTCATGGTGGTCATACAAGGCTATATAAGGGTCAGGAGGGTTATAGTGAGGGTCATAATAAGAGTCACACGGGTCATAAGGGTCCAAATAAGGGTCATGGGGGTCGTATGGGGCCATATGGGGGTCATATGACGGTCATATGTGGATCATACGGGTGTGTAGCTGCCTAGTAAATAAATAAATAAATCGTGGAAGAAATCATAGGAAATCATTAATCCTAGAAATTCCTGAGTCACTGAAATCAGCATTGACCAGGCCCTCAGATTTGACCCCCACGATTTCACCCCAATTCCCTCGAAATTCCAGCACGCGGTGCGAGTCTCGCCGATTTCATTCAGCCCTCGCTGGGTCCCCTCCAGCCGAATCTGGACGACTTCATGGACACCCTGGAGCCCCTCCAAGAGTTTCTCAATTCAAAACTCCCCCCCGTCCCCGAGGAGGACGATCTCTTTCGCTCTACCACCCTCAATCCCACCTACTCCGATCTCGACCTGATGTCCTCGATAAATCAGGTCCCCAATCTTCAATCACCCCAGCCCCAAAATCCCACCCAATTGTCCCAGCCATCCTCCACCATTCCCCAGCCCCCTCCCACCCCACCCAACCCCCTCCAGAGCCTCCAGTATCCCTCGAAGTACATGCCAGCGCCACCTCAATCATCACAAATCTACAGAGCCCCGTCAACATCACCGGAGACCTATCAGAACCAGCGGGAAAAATCTCAGAGGCCTGGACGCTCACCCTCAAGGTCAAATAGAATTATTCAGCATCAGTCAGCCCCTGCCTTTTCCACGTACCAGACGAGTTACAATCATCTGGATATGGGGACTATTCAGGGCAGTCAGAACACTCCTCAGATGACCTTGAATACTCTTCAGGACAGCAGTTTCAATACTAGGGGCATCAAGGGGATGTCCACAACTACTTCGGGGATGGGGGAATGTTTCAAGGGAATTGGCTCACAGGGGTTCAAGATTGGACAGAGTGCGCAGGGGAGTCAGCCGTTCAAGTTCAGGGGTAATAACTTGAAGAATGTCGGACAGGTGAGGTTCTTGAAGACGTAAATAGCATTGGGCATTGGTGATGACCTCTTCAGGGAGTAAGGGACATTTTCGCTTGAAAACACTGGTCATAAACCCCTGTATCTCTTCTACTTCGGGAGATGTATTGAAATTTGATTTCAAGGTCAAATGTTCTCCAGTGAATATCTCGGGAACTAGAGGAGATAGAGGGGCTTATGACCAGTGTTTTGCAGCGGAAATTTTCCGGGCTAGCTGATGGGGTCATTTTCGACCCCCGCCCCCTTCTCTGAGTTTCTCAGCAGAGAATTTTTTTTTTCTAAAACGAAAAAAAATTGTTCTCATCCCCAGAATGCCCCACAACAAGTGACCGTGACGGTCTCTTCGGCATCTCCAGTGTCGTCTCATATTCTCCTTCAGTGCAAGCCATCGGGCCTTGATCTCACCGCTCCGGCCCTTCATCCAACGAAACTCCTTCCCAAATGCGGCGAAAAGGAGGAGATTTTCGCTGTTCCGAAGTACCAGATGAAGGTGAAGAGCAGGAGCAGAAGTTCCAGTGCTCTGAGTGGCCAACGAAATCACCCACCACCTCTAGTATCAGCTGTATCTGATCCTGCCATCAATGTCAGCAATAATGTCTTATTGGCGCAATTGTTGACGAACAATTCCGCTGGACTGTACACAGTCAGCACTGGCCCGGAGAAGATGGGGGGGTTGGGAGGGGGTCAGAGTGCTGGAGGCAAGGGGATGATGCAGATGATCCAGGGGAGCAGCGGTGGGGGACAACTAGGCAGTCCAGGTAAGTCAAAGCCATTGTTTCCAGATTTTTTTGGGATGAAAAAAATTATGGGGTGGGGCTGGGGGGTCACAAATGACCCCATTCGATAGATCGGAAAATTTTCAGGGAGAAAATCGTTGTTTGTCCCCAGGAAGAGCACAATTAAATAGCCCGGGGGCAGTTCAGAGTCAGGGTAGTCCCAGTGGTATGTTGTTATCTGGTAGTCAGTCACAGGGTAGTCCAGGCTCACCAAAGGACAGCAGTGGGGTCCACAGTCCCCAGGCATTGAGTTTAAGTCCTCTTCACAGTCCTATGAGCCTGGGCAGCCCCCTGTCACCAGGATCTAGGATCTACGTCAAGGGTGAACGCGAGGGTGGGGGGTACAAGGAGCAGAGAAGGGTCGGGCACATTCATGCCGAGCAGAAGAGAAGGTACAACATCAAGAATGGCTTTGACATGCTGCACAGTCTCATTCCCCAGTTGAACCAGAATCCTAACACTAAGTTGAGTAAGGCTGCTATGCTGCAGAAGGGGGCAGACTATATTCGACAATTGAGGGCTGAGAGAAATCAGATCAAGGAGGAAATGGAGAATTTGAGACATCAGATTGAGTGCCTTAACACTTCCATAAGGTATGTCAATTTGATTCACGTGACAGCCTGGGATATATAGGCTATAATATTAGATGTTGGCAATATTAAAAAGGATTATCTCGTTATATTGTTCAAAGTTTAACTATATTTACCAAATTTAAAATATTATAGAAATTATTAGCTACATTTTGCGATTGTTGGTGAATAAAATATTTGATAATAATAAAATGTATATTTTTTGGTTACCAAACTAATTCTAAATTTAGGTACTTGATTTTCGATTATCCAAATAATCGTCGATCTTCCTACGTAAATTATTGGTTGATAGAATATTTCGAAATTTAAGGCTCGGGTGTATTATCCTTCGAAGGTTATCTGGATTTTTTTTATCTTTCGTAATCCAAAATTGTCAATTGAGTGGTACATCATGTAGAAATTCCCAAAAATTATGATAGAATGATAAAAAAAATAGAAAAAATTCTGAACTTTTTCAAAGAGCGTTTTTAATTGAGATTCAGAATGAGTTGAAAAAAGTGGAAATTACAAATATCTGATTCGCTGTGGCAAATTATCTATTAGCTGTCATTTTCCATGGTGGATAACAAAACACTAACTCCTCATGGGAAGTGACAGCTAGGTATCTCAATTTTCAAAACAGTGGTATGTAGTCATCTGCCATTTTTATGTGATAAAAGTGTGATTAAAAAATTCTCCAAAATATTACAACTTTTTTCAAAGAGCCTTTTCCGTAATAAATGTCTCTGTGCAGTGTGGGAAAAGATTTACGAAATCAGTCTTCCCCCTGCATGATATTGGGTGACAGGCCGCCATTTGTCACCGTAAATCAGATACATTTTTCAATTTCTTGTTATTCAACTTATTCTGAATATAAATTAAAAATGCTCTTTGAAAAAATTAAGAATTTCTTCTACTTTTTTTGATTATTCATTCATAATTTTTCAAAACTTCTGCATGATGCAGGACTCAATTGACAATTTCAGATGACGAAAGATGAAAAAAAAACATCGAGATAACGTTCGAAAGATAGTACACCCGTGCCTT